ATGCCTCCTTCATTGCCCACCCCTTATCACTGCCTCTCTTTCTCTCGCCCCACTGTTCTGTCACCAAACTACCACCACCATCGTCTCTCTCATGGGGCCTCTAGGCTTAGCATACAAAGATTGGTGATTTGGGGTATTGGCAACTCCTGAAGAAGAGAAATTGCTCTTGTAAAAGGGTCTATTGTAGGTTCCTTCATTTTCCCCTCCCCCCCTTCTCTAGTGCCTGTTTAGAGTCAAATGAAGATTCTGATTTTTGCTGCGGACTTTGAAATAGGGACTGGAATATGAATTTCTAATTCAAAGTTTAGTGTTCAATTTTATTTATGTAAACACTGATAGGTTTGGTATTGGGGGCTTATTGGTATACCTCAATTTTACAAATAAAACTCTAAATTGTATATTGTTTTTTAGTTTCAAGTATTTGAAATTCGAAACAAATTAAGCTCCATGCAAACAAGTTCATATATACGAGGGTAAAGGGCAATCCCCCCCCCCCCCCCCCCCCCAGTGTAAATAACCCTCCTTAACTACAAATAACCCTTTGCAACTATATGATTGGTTAGTTTTTAAGACAGAGAAGGTTATTCTGGTTCAGTTTCATCCCCAAAAATTTGTAAAGACATTTTTACCCTTTACATAAAAGGTTGCCATTTAATATTGAGGTATTGTTATAAAATTGGTTAAATAACGTGGGCCCAGTGTAATAAGAGGAGCCACTAAAATTTTGACACCTATGCAACCTTATCACAATAAACCAATGAGACTATGAGAATTTGACAGGGCAATTATCACCTCCACCACTCATTAATTTCTTGGCGTCATGGAAAAAAAAATCTTGGCATCAACAGACACCGTGGCAAGGGTCATGTGGGGAAAACCCCCTATAATATCTATATTGTGTGTATAATCCCCTTATGTTTGTTAACCACCCCTTTGCATAAAAATATGTGCATCTTAGTACCTTTTGTCCATTGTCGTGTACTGGAGCTGCAAATAGACTTAAATACCCCTCTCTATAATTTTTAAAAATAATTACAATAACAAGAAATGTGAAAATACAAAAAGCCCACTGTTTGGTGGACAAAAAAACCTTGCATCGCTGCCGGCAGCCCGGCTGTGTCGTGTCCCTAGCAAAAAATGCTTGTCGCCGCCGTTCCAACTCACTATCAGTCTATCAGACCTTGTTTGCCACCATCCCTAGCAAATCCATAACTCTACTCGTCGTTCGGTACAATACTCTTGCTGCCAAATTCTAAAATAATATTGTTACTCTTGGCTGAGTCATCTTTGAACAATGAGGAACAATCTTCTAACAGTGGGACTCAGTTGGTAATGAGATAACTATAATCTCACTCTCGGTTTGGTCTGAACGGGGAACTGAAACATGCCAGACCGGAACTCATTGCTGTGTCAGACCAAGCTTACCGGAAGAGGATGAATAGAGTTCGCCGTTTGTTCACCCGCAAGGACGGACCCAGAACTTTAAGTAAAGGGGGCAAGACTGATTAGCAATATGTTTTGGGTATATAATGAAAAAAGAAAAAAAGCATGGTATATTAGTAAAAATATATATATTCAGGGGAGCAATTCCCCCCCCCCCCCCTACTTGCACGTAGGTCCGTTCCTGTTCACTGGAGTCGCATGCATGTCTTGGAGCTCACTAGATGGTCCCGAAATGGGTCTCGTTCTGGGTTTTGCTGAAATTGCACTCGTAGCTTGCCGGATTGTTTCGCTACTGTAGCTCTGTAACCAAAACTGTTGTTCACCTTAACTAAGACACACTGGGGGTTGTTCGATCTTTGATTGCAGCTCGCCAGATTGGTTGATGCAGAATGAAGATCACCGAAAAAGCAGGATGCTTCTGAACTGGAGTGGGATGATTCAATCGCCATCACCGGAGCTAGTAGTTGTAGTTTTGGAGCTCGCGGTTGTGTCGCCATCATCGGAATGGGTATGTCTTCGTCGGAGTTCGCATCGACTGAGGTGTACCGAAGATGAAGCTTTCTCTGTATTTGCACAGATGGGAGATCATTGGAACCGTGGTTCATCTGAACTGAATTTGGTGTGTTGCCAGTTGTTATTGGGTCTTCCATCAATTGGCCGATTTAGTTGAAAATTTGGGCCGGTGAGTCCCCGGTTGTGGCGGCGGCGATTTCTCCAATGGGGTTGGGGCATTTTTGGTATATATAAAGGTTATTTTGGAGTTTTCAAGCTCTTAAAATAGTCATATGTCCGGCACATGACTATTTAACGGCCCTTTGCTACCGGAAAGTTGATCGGAGGCCTTCCTTGCAACATTTTGACATCTAGCATAGATTTATACATACAAAATAAACTACAGGGCTGTAATCCACACAAAATCAAAACCACAAGGGTGTTTTGTAGACTTTACCCGGTGGCAATTGCACGTCTTTCCCTACAACTCCATACCCTAATCTATACATTCTCATCCTCAGGCAACACAACTTTCGATGCCTCTTCCTTCTTCAACATCTTCATCTTCTTAAAAGACCCTCTCTTATCATCTTCTTCACCATCCACACTACCTGGATCAAAGATCTGATACTTTCGAACATATATATATATTTTCGTTTCAAACAGATTAATGTGATTCGATTACGATTCCAATTTGGGTTCTGATTTGGATTCCAATTTGGTCCACTACAATTGTTGTTGAATCAAACGCCGTCATCTGGAAACTACTTTGCTCAAGCCCTAATTCGGAATTACAAACCAGCCACAACTCTGACAAAACTTCCAATTACCGATTCCATAATCTCCGAGACTCCAACACTAAACCAGTACTACCATCCGAACCCAACCAAGCTTCGCACCATTCACGGGAGTCGTCTTGTCCAGTAGCCGACCACAATTAGTTCGTATACCTCAATTTTGCAAATACAACTCCAAAGTGTACATTGTTTTTAAGTTTCGGGGATTTGAAATTCGAAACAAATTCAGCTCCGTCCAAACAAGCTCATATACTATTAAACTCTGATTTTGAACCTTCACACCATTTATTGTGACATGAGGTTGGGGTGATTCATTTGCTTGGGGCGAAAAAAATGTCACACTTGCTATTATGCATTCCTTTTCATTTATATGTAAAAATTGAGTTTCGGAAATTGTGAGATCAGACTCTGTTTTGACTTCCTTTTATTGTGAATGGATATATATATATATATATATATATATATATATATATATATTGTTTTTGTTTTACTTTATTTCCGCACATTTGGTTTCTCTATTCTTTTACTTTGGGTGCATATGTTGAAATAACAATGTCATATACAACAGTTTTGAATTGTTTTAAGTATAAGTTAGTCTATTTCATTTCACCGATTGACTTGGACTTTCCTACATTTGAATTGAAAATCTAAAGTCCCTGGATGTTTTAAAACTAACTTTAATATTGATCTTTGATTGAAGTACCAATGATTTAGGGTTCTATGTAACGGGAATTTTTAACGCGTTCCCCTTTTGAACGTTTTTTAATGAAATTTTACTTATAAAAAAAAAAAAATGTAACCAGAATTTTTCTCTGCTGTTCGGTTTAAAGCCTCATTTTCACACTCTTCCCTCTGTATATCAACCCTAAGGTCCTCTAGGTTTCCAGCTGGAATTTAAAACCACATGCTTCTTAGTATTAGTCCAAACTTCTATGATCATCGTGTATGAAACCATCTGAGTTGACTTTTGTTGAAATGGTTATCCACGGGTAATCCTTATAAGCTATTACATGTGCCATTCTTTACTAGTTTTATCACTTCATCAGAGCATTCTTTGTTGTGCCCTGGACCCTCTATTATTTATTTTTATTTATTGTTTCTGTAATGCTGTGGCATGAATTTGGTGTCGGGTCGTGTTGCAACCCGTTGATTGAGCTTTGATCAGTATTTATTTATTGTTTTTTTGGATCGTAAGCCCTATTTAGTACTCTATTGTAGCCCAATATATAATGATGCTTATGGTTTGGAGTGGAATAATAGATAGACATTGAAAATTGCAAAAAAGGGTGAGTCCTTTCACCGGATCTTCACCATGGATGTATGCTTTGCGGAATCACACTAAATCTTTGTTTTATTTGTGTGTGGCGTGTTTATTTTCTGTTAGTGTTTCTTGGGTTCGTTGTGTTTGTCGTAACAATTTATTTCTTGACTCAAAATAGCAACAACTTTTTCTCCAATTGGGTTTGAAATTATGCACGATATCATCTCCTGGTTGATGATTGTTCATTTTGAGTTGTGATATGTGTGTAATCGTTTGCAATACTAATTGCTCTTCTAACCGGATCAAAGTTGGTGAAAATTTCACGTGATGTGACTTTTGAGTATCTGCCTTTTGGTTAATACAAATGCAATTATCAAACTTTAGGGATTTTGAAAAAAGCTCTGATAAGAACAAGATGTGACTCGAATGCACGAGCCGTACGTGATTGGCATGTACTTTTGAATGAGCAAAAATAAATAAAATAAGAGATTTGATAAAATTAGTTATATGTATATCGAGATAAGATTAGGGTTATTTTAGAGTTTTTTTATTTTAAGATTTTATCTGGTAGTTGTGTTTGGTTAGGAATTTATTTCATTGCCAATATATATATGTGTAGGCTTTGGTACTTTTGATTTGGACGCTATATGATGGTTGTTGATTAACGAGCATGTTGTTTTAGTGATTTTGTTTCGATATTCTCCCTCGCTCCCATCTTTCCTCTCTTCTTTTTTCTGCATTTATTTGGTATCAGAGCTTTCCCCTACAAATGGTGTCAACATTATAATGAAGTATGTGTTTAGATAAAAATTAATACTAGCTTAATTGGATACCACCTCTCTAAGCAGCTAGTTGGCTGCGTCTCTATATTTGTGGATCATTCGATTCATGGGTCGTGATTTAGGATATGCTCGTTTTTTCTTTTCTGTTACTATCAGAAAGAGATATGACTCCCACCCTCCAAAATTAGTCTCTTGCCCATTTTTTGTTCACTTTGCCTGTTTCAGGGTCCAAGAAAGAAGATACTTTTGGCATTGGAGACTGAAGGCTTTCTTTCATCGTCAAATACCAAAATTGCCCCAAAAAACAATGTAAGTATGTTTGAACATTACTCATTTTCACCCTGTTTTGCAACTGCTTTTGCTTTTTTTATATTTTTGTGAAAAGTGAAAACTTGTTTAGTAACTTTGTTGCAATTTGAATAATAAATATTGTGTTTGTTTCCAAAAAAGAGGCAGAAACCAGGAAACGCCAAATTGGGGTAGTATTTTCAGTTCTTTCAGTAAAGAATGCTGTATTTTCAAATTTGCAACACTATTTTACAAAACATGTTTTAATGTTTTTGCTTTAAAAATTCTTGCAACAAATTTTACTATACCAAACATGTTTCAATTACTATTAAACACACTCCACAATAAAAATGTTATTTATGGTTCGGATCAAAATAGAAACGCTAAACATTTTCGGATGCCAAGCAGGCCCTTTGTGATTTAAAATTACTCATATACTGTCACTGGTGTAATGAAAATTCCCTTATTTATTTATTTATTTATTTATTATTATTTTTTTTTACTTATGAAGAAAAAAAACCCCTCCAGTGCCTTTACTCCCTACGGTTTAGTTAAGTTTATTTAAATTACACTGATTGTAAGTTGATTACACTGATTGTAAGTCGGTTTAAGTTTACTAGTTAAATAATTTCTAAATGACGATATTATGTGAGTGAAAATGACTTAAATGACCTTATTAGTTTTACCAAATGACCATTTTCATTCAATTTTATTTATATAAAAATGAGTGAAGGTTGATTGATTAAGTAATTGTTTGGTTTAAAAGAGGGCGGAGTTATATATGTTATTTATATTTAAAGAGTTTTATAAAATATTTAATGGGAGCATTAATAGAATATTTTATTTTTTGGTATGTTGGCTTTTTTTGTGAAAATGTGTATCGAGTGAGCACCAAAATAATAATAATAATAACAGTATGGTTGAATGAAAATGCTATGCATGGTGTAGTCAAGTACGTGGTCGAGGTTGTTATTGGGCATGATTGGGGCAATTAGGTTGATAGAGAATTGGGGGAGGTGAAATTTTTGGTGTCAAATAATTTTGAGTTGAGGGCATTGAAGTATCTTCGAGGATATAGTTTTTCAATTGTGTGCGTATAGTTCTACATGGGTCAAGCAAAGGCTCAAGCTCAAATTGACGTAATTTGATTTCTTTAGTGTGTTTGTACTGTTTGTATGACTCACAAGAAAACAAAGCCGAGAGAGTAATCAAAGAAAGAGTTTGAGAATCGAACTTAGGAAATTTGAATTTTATAACCGACAACATTATCATGCAGGTTTTCTCATTTATATTGGTATGTAGGTGGCTTGATTTTTGACTTGGAGGGTTGAAGTTTTGGTGAAAATTCCTGCATCACATCTAGAAGTAGAAGCAGACTATTTGGCATCATGGATTGGTGGTTGGATTTTTTTGTATCAATGCTTTTGTTTTTATTTTTATTTTATTTTTTATTTTCTTTTCCACCATGTTGAAAAATGGGTAAAAAAATGTTATTGATACCATCTTTCACAAGATATGTTGAATTATAGTGGTACTATTTACATATATATATATACGACTTTAAAATTAATGTGAGTTACATATATAGTGGTGGTACTTTAAATGATGCCCGGTAACCGAGGGCATGGATTGTAGTTGGCCCAGCCGGCACCCAAAAAAGTGACACAGAAAGCGTGGCAGGCTTATGCCAAGACAAGTCTTTTGAATTGGCTGCTTGGTGCATACTATTTGAGTCGGAGGCTAACAACAACAGAGCTCAAATATCCTTCTTGAGAAAGGGCAGTTTGTAAACAAGTTTGTACTTTAGAATAAATCAAAGCACAATAAAAATACAGCTTCTGTGATTGAAAACGCAAAATAGACACTACTGGCAAACAGACCCCTTAATTTTTCTGTTATGTTCCATGTACTACCTGAAGCAATTTATCCCAAATAGCTTAAATTTATCAGCTCATAATAAGTATCAAACATACCTAGCAGTACACAAATCATGCTATAAAATAACTTACCAGAAGCCAGTGCCGTTTCAATTGCATATCCAAAACTAAAATTTGTTTGTTCACTTAAAAGCATGACACATACCATGCAGTACACAAACCAGACTATTTACCTGGTCATATAAATTTCTTAGGCATATAATAAATTATCTCACTAGAGGCTATCGAGTGTTGTTCATCTCACGCAAAATACATTTCAATTGTATATCGTCTTCAATAATCAAGACATTACACAACTCGTCTGAATAAACCTCCAAGTTAATGAATTCATAGTCCTTTATCTTGTCAATCTACCAATTTGACTAATTAAATATGTTGATTGACTATGTTAAAAACAATCCACACCTTATTATGTCGACATCCATTTTGACAAATTATGTGGCGATGACTTGGCGGGTATTTTAATGGTGATGTCACTATTAGAGTGATACTAATGGCAGGGTTGTTACACTTTGTTTAAAGTTGTAATGTGGCAGTTATTATGTAGAGAGAGAGAGAGAGAGAGAGAGAGAGTTTTGAATAACATACGGGTGTTTGCACTTGATATTGTTGTTGGAAGATAATTGTTCAAGAGATCAAATTTAATCATGTGATAAGGTTTTATTAAAATTATTAGTTAGTAAGAATTTATGTATGATTATCCCTAATTATCTTTACTTTGTGGAAGATAAACGAGGGATATATTATCATATTCTTCAACTAATGTGAATTTGTGGAGAAGAAATTTTGGGTAATCAATTGTAATCCAATAACTTGATTTTATAATGTAGTTTATGTCCCACTAAGTAAATGAGCAAGTTGCAATTTCTATTTGACAATTATGTGCTAAACAAAATTAGCAGATTAATGTAGTTGCAAGCAGTGGCTGATTTTCAGTATGCACAATTTCAATTTCCAACAAGTAACTTATAGTAATTGTGCAATAATAATGATAAGAATTCAGCAATTAAATAGCACAATTATAAGGGAGATAAGGGAAGAGAAATTGCAAACATAGATACGGCGATTTTAGCGAGGTTCAGAAACTCATACTCCTCGGCTCAAGACCATTCTTGAGACTTTCCAATCCACTATGGCTCCTTCTTACGGCTGGAGAACAAACCTCGATTAGAAGCAATTCCTTGCTTCTCCTTGCTAAGAGACAATCTCTCTTAGTCTTCCTACGGGCCAAACCAGCCCTTACAATATCCTTACTAAGAGATCACCTCTCTTAGTCTTCTATAGGCCACACCAACCCTTACAATAGCTTTGCTAAGAGAATTCCTTCTCTTAGGCTTACAACAAAAATGAATAAGTGTTACAAGTTTCTCTCTCTCAGCACTGATTTATAGATTATAGCTCACTCTAGAGAATCAATGAATACAAGTGAAGCTCACTCTCTAAGTATGATGTATATGAGAGAAATAATTATAGAACAACAACTCTGTACCTAAGTGTAAATCTCTGAACAAAAGCTTTGAATGAATGTCTGAAATTGCTCAAGAAATTCGTAGTATCTCTTTATCTATTTTGGCTATGCAAGCTTGTGTAGGAGAAGATGATTGATTGTTCAGAACAAGAGCTCAATCAAAGAGTAGTACTAGAACAAAAGCTCTGTAGAATGTAAAGTAAAAACTCTCTTGGATTTACGAAAATGGCTTTCTCAGCTCTGTTTATTGAGGCTCAAGCACACCCTTTGCAGACAACTTATCTCAACATATATAGACCTCTTCCTTGGTCAAATAGCCGTTGTAAAACCCCCTTCAAGATTAAGACACATCAGTACTTCATTGGGCAGAAAAATTCTATGCATTGGATAGATTTCTAACTTGGAAGTATATGCATTGTGTATGCCCCTTTCATCGATAATATATATTTTGACTTCAAGATAAAAACAATTCAATACAACTAGAGTACAATCAATATGTCAGTATACGCATGGGTAAGAAACTGAAAAAGCATAAAGTGAATAATATCTTTACAATATTTATATGTCCATTTGCTTTAAGTTTACAATATAAATAAGGAAGTACCCCCCATTTGGATTCAATAAAAAATATAAAAAAATTGAAATCCAACTAAATCAAAATGTAAAAATTCAGTTTTAGTACAAATTTGGATTTCTAACAGTTTTAGTAAAAATGAATCCTTATGTAAACCAATGTAGACTTGGTCATAAAATCCCATAAAATCAGTTTTGGTTATATGAAGTGTAAGGAGTAATTACCGAGAAAAATTATCTTGGAAAAATGTTTTACTCAAAAATCCATTTTTCACACTTAGCTAAAAACATATTTTTCATTATGCGCATATAAGGGTCCTAAAGTTCGTTACCAACTTATGGTAATAACGGCTTCTCATGCCTTAATCGTTGGCTAATATGAATCATGTGATTGATAAGCATGGTCTTAGCATTTCTAGCACAAGTGATGAGTTCTTTCTAAGCTTATGCAAGCTTGAACTAACTCATTCCTTAGCAACGACTTCATGTCTCAATTATATATGAATGAAGTACATAGTCTATTACTAATGGATATAGGACCATATGAATGATGAGTGATATGTATGGTCCTATAGAGATGAGCTTCAAATTGATTCATAAATACCTTGACAATGAATTCTAAACACTCACCAACCTATCTTCCCCTTTCTTCATGCTTTGTCCATGATCGTGTAGGCTTTGAGGTAGTCTTGCTTTCTTCCTTTCTTAGAGTTGATTTCGTTCTTGTTAAAGTCCATGATATCTTTCCTTGGAACTTCAAGTCTTCTTTATATCCATTTATTTCCTTGATGTGATCTTGAGTAATGGAATACTTGGAATGATCTTTATGATCTTCATTGAGGTTCTTCTTTGAATGTAAATCATTTATAACACTCACTGTAAACATTAGTCCTTAAACACCGTTAATGGTTTGTAATCATCAAAACACCTAGATTGTTCTTGGATGGAATCCTTATGGTCAACAGTCTATTTTAGGACTCTTTAGGATTTCTATTAAGAATTGTGGAAGTCGTCTTTGTAAAGGGTCCAACACCTTATAATTAAACTATCAATAGATTCCTTTTTAAAATCAAGCTTCCTTATTTTATTTAAATCTCAATTTTTATAGGTTTAATTCAGCTCCTCTTTAGTTAATTATTTTAGTTCAATTAAATTTTCTTTTTAATCAAGTTATTTATTTATTTATTTTTTAACTCCTTTAATTGCAACTCTCTGTTTCAATTTACATTAGTTCCCAGTAGTTATAATTGCTTCCTATTTTAGTTTCATCTTTAATTGAATTTCCTTTCATTACAATTCGCTATTTTGTTTAAGGTAATTAGAACCCAAATGAGAGTTTCATGTTCTCCATCTCACATGTCTCCTGTTCAAACCATTTCACAAAAGAGATTGAGTTTGACCTATTTCACACAAACTTAAACCAGCCCATTGGTTCTGGTACGCTTGCACTTAGCTATTTTTTGAATCGGCAGAGCTCGTCGATTTAAGGGTCAACATTTTGGCACGCCCGGTAGGAGGGTGAGCGATTTGCAAATATGCCACAAAGACAAAAGAATTCCAAAGTTGTCGCGATAGCATATGACGATAATGAAGAAGAGAATCAACTGATTCCTACTAGCGAATTCGCTGATGGTGAATCGGTTGCTTGATCTGACATCCCATTGGTACAAATTGTAGAAATGATGACGTAGATGGAACGTAAAATGAATGTGCAATCCTTTCAGTTCAACAACCATAAGGTTGAAATGCCAACACATATGAGTGAAAGCAACAATAGAATGAGATCTAAGTTGCAAGCACAACTCGGTGAATATAACCACAAGATAGATATTGTGATGAACCAAATATCGGCTGCTCAGAAACGGCAGATGCAAGTTAAAAGTTTCACTGCTTATGAATCGGTTTCTCAGCCGATTTCATTACCTTTAGCGATCGTTTCTCTATCCTAACCGACATTAGTGATTTTAACTTAGCTAGATTAGCAAGCAAACTTACTAACAAACCTGTAACCGATCTGGATAGAGAATTAGCAGCATTATGTGATATTCGCATATTAGCCTTTTGCATTATATCAGCAAAATCAACATCAACAGATAGCTTCTTTGGATCCCTTTGAAGAAACCTTCGACTAGGGGGCAGTCAGCCATAAAATTATCAGCAATCAGCTGTCGAATATCGACAGGTCGTAAATTAGCCAGTTGCTCATGTATATCAGTCATTCCTAGAATACGAGCCGGGGGGGCGGCCGATGGCCAATCAACAACAAGGTTGGCTTAATTGTTATCAGTCATATGATTGGCTAGAATATCAGCCGCACTCAACCATTCAGATGTTCCATTAGCCACCTACAGTGTATTACCCATTGTTAATCAACCATTGTGACACCCCCTAATTTCAGAGACGCTGGTTGATCAAGTCCACACTCAGATACCAGGGGATATCAAAACAATTTAAGTATTTAAACAAACACATAATACAAAGATGAATAATAAAGAATAAATAAAAAGTTGAAGAAACTAATAAATAATAATTTTATTAATTAATTAATAATCCTCCAAAAGTTACAACTCCTGAATCTCGTAAATCAAGAACCCCTTAACCAAAATCCACTATCCAGAAATCCATAAAATCAAACGGAATAATAATATCCTACTTTGAAATAAACAAGAGCAGATGATAGATAAGTCTCCAAGTTGCGAATCCTCAACCTCGAGATTTGAACCTCTAAGAACCTGAAAGATAAAAATAATGGTGGGTCAAAACCCACA